ATGAATGTAAAACTGATCTTCTCCCATGTAAATCTTACAATAAAAACTTTTTAAAAAAATCAGCATAATGGGTTGTTGTTGTTGTTGTTATGTGCCATGAGTCATAGACACCCTGTACAGGGTTTCCGAGGCTGTAAATCTTTACAGAGCAGAAAGCTTCATCTTTCTCCCATGGAACAGCTGGTAGTTTCAAACTGCTGACCCTAAGGTTAGCAGCTCGATTTGTAACCACAATGCTAGAAATGTATTTTTGCTCCTAATAAATAAAAATCATTTATTTATTTACAAAAGAGAAGATGATGGAAGGAATATGTACAGTCACTATACAAAAAAGAAATGATCAATGTTCAACCATTTCAAGAGGTAGCATATGATCAAGAGCCAATGGCACTGAGGAAGAAGTCCAAGCTACACTGAAGGCATTGGCAAAAAACAAGGTTTAGAAATTGACAAAATACAAATCGAAATCATTCAACAAACTGATGTAACCCTGGAGGTGCTCATTTGTCTCTTCTAAGAATTTGGAAGATAGCTCTCAGGCCAACTGATTGAAAGAGATTTATATCTTTGCCCAGGCCAAAGAGAGGTGACCCAATGGAATGTGGACATTATCGAACAATGTTAATAATACATGCAAGAACAATTTTGTTAAAAATAAAGAATGGCTGTAACAGTACATTAACAGGGATCCGTCAGAAATTCAAGCCAGATTCAGAAGAGGACTTGGAATGAAGGGTATCATAGTTAACATCAGATGGATCATGGCTGAAAACAGAGAATACCAGAAAGATGTTTACTTGCGTTTTATTAACTATTCAAAATGCATATGACTGTGTGAATCATAACAAACTATGAATAATATTGCAGAGACTCAGTATTTCCTAACACTTAATTGTGCTTGTGAGGAATCTATACATAGACCAAGAGGTAGCCATTTGAACAGAACAAGGGGATACTGAATGGTTTAAAATCAGGTCAAATGTGGGTCAGGTTTGAGTCCTTTCATCATAAATATTCAATCTGTAAACTGAGCAAATAATCCGAGAAGCAAGATTATATAAAGAACATGGCATCAGGGTTGGAAAAAGACTCATTAACCTGTGATATACAGATGATACAATCTTTCTTGGTGAAAGCAAAGAGAACTTAAAATACTGATTTTCATCAAAGACTATAGTCTTCAATATGGGTTGCACCTCAATGTAAAGAAACAAAAATCATCACAACTGGACAAATAAATAACATCATGGTAAATGGAGAAAAGCTTGAAGTTGTCAAAAACATTTTCCTTGGATCCACAATCAACACTCATGAAAACAGCAGTCAAGAAATCAAATGATGTATTGCATTAAGCAAATCTGCTGCAAAATACTTCTTTCGGGTATTAAAGAACAAAGACGTCAGTCTGAGAACCAAGGTACATCTAACACAAGCCATGGTATTTTCAATCACATCATATGCATATGATAGTTGGGCAATGGAGAAAGATGATCACAGAAGAGCCAATTCATTTGAATTAGAGTATACAGGAAGAATATTAAAAGTACCATGGACTGTCAAAAAAACAAACTTGTCTTAGAGGAAGTACAGTCAGAATGCTCCTTAAAAGTGAGGAGGGACCAGTCTGGAGAAGGACATTATGCTTGGTAAAGTGGAAGCTCAGCAAAAAAACAAAAACAAAAACAAAAAACAAGAGGAAAACCCCCAATAAGATGGTTGGAGACATAGGCCACAATAGTGGGCTCAAGAATAGCAACAATTGCGAGGATGACACAGGACTTAGGCAGTATTTCTCTCTGTTGTACATAGGATCGCTGTGAGTCAGAACAAACTCGAGGGAACTTTAGAACAACAAAGCAACATTGTTGGGGAAGGACACCTGGAGGCATAATAAACAGTTAAGTCATGCAAAATGTGGGTGGTTGAACCCACCAAATGCACTGCTGGAGAAAAGAACTAATGATCTGCTCACATAAAGATGGCAGCCTAGAAAACTGTATGGGGCATTTCTGCTTCATCATATAGGGCAACTGAGTTGAAATCAGTTCAATGGAACACAACAATAGCATTTTTGGATGGGTTGAGACAGTGAACCCTGGTCTTGAACTTCACAAACGATTCCAAGAACACACCTTGGAATGGATCTACCCAGGGTGTGTGTGTGTGTGTGTGTGTGTGTGTGTGTGTGTGTGTGTGTAGTGCACAGTCATTATCACAACCAGGAGGAAGGGGAACCAGGAAGAGGTTGCTGCCACTTCAGTTTCTGCCAGCATCCATAAAATTAAAGGTTAGGTATTAGATAGCTGCTGCAATGAGAAAGCTACCATATCTGATGACTTTGCCTTTCTTTCTTTTTCTTTTTAAAAGCTTTTATTGTGAATTGAGTGAATTTCCACAGGGTAGATTATCAGTTTTACATTCAACAAATCATGCTTTGTTTCATAACATGATTATAATCCCCTCCATGTACAACCAGTTAGCAGTATTTGCCACTATTCTTTCCCCTGCCCCCTTTTTGTATGTACACGCACAAAACAACAAAAATATATACTCATTTAAATGTCCAAAGGGCATATTTTGCAAGCCAGCCTCCTGCCTGCAGGCACACAGCCTTTCTCAGTCCATGGGACTAGAATCCTCAACTGCTCTATCTCTTCATACCATCGCCTCTGCCACCATCTGTGCTATCTCCACTTTTCTGGTTAGGATCTCACACCCATGTTCTTCTCTCTTGATGGTCCTAGGGTCCTTTGTTCCTGAAATAAAAGATTAACTACTTCTCTCTTTTAGTTGTACATCTTCTACATTGACAATAGTGACAATTGCAATTAGTCCTGATAACAATTACTCACAACTGAATCATAAATTCCTATCACCATCATCCCCCATCCATTTTCACCAGATTCATCTGGAAAACAGAAAAACTATTCAGTGGGGAGTATACCTTATACCCCTCATTCTGAAACTAAGCACACTCATGAATGTTTGTAAGCCAGTCACTCCATGCCTTTATAGTCCCCTATTTTTGAGAGACAAGGCTTAAGTTTCCCACCCCAATCAACCTAGAATACTGAGGATACAAGCTTGATCCTTGATATGAAGAATCCTTCCCTTTTAGTTGGAATTTTGAGCAACTGCATCCATAAGCAAAGGTACAATTCATCAAATTGTAGCATTTTATGCTTGCTCCCTGTATCAAACCTCTTCATCGTCATCTTGTCAAGTTCTGGTCAGCTAGCCATCCAAGCTATGTCATATGGGTACTGTCTGCAAGTTTAGGAGTTCTCGCCTTCCCCCACTTCAGACCAATTGGCTGCTTCACTCTCAGCTCTAGCCCTCACTGGCTAGGTCAATGTCCATGGGCTCAGGAGTTCATACATCTTCCTAAACTTCAGACCAGCCAGCCTTTCATATTTTCTCTCTCATCTCGAGGACCACAAGTATCAATCAAACATGGCCAAGTTCAGCCCATGCCTTCATTGATGCATTTCCCTCACTTATACTCACAAGTAGACCAGGGCTCTCACCAATGAGCATGCTGATTGGTGGGTTCCCTTTAAGTTTCAGTTTTAGAAGGAGATTTACCTTGATGGGCTGACTTTTCTTGCCTTGGTAGCTCCAAGGCAAACAGCTTCCTTGGTAGTCTAACAGTCAAGCACTGACTTTGCCTTTGACACCTATAAATCTGGACACAGGAAAATCCCAGATCTCCACAGTCATGTTTGACAGAAGAAAGCATCCAAAAAGATGACCTTGGCCTCACAACTGCCATATGAATCCTACCAGAGGGTAGCACTTAATTCCCATTTGGAAACTTTCTTGTAGCAAATGACTCATAGAAATGACTGTTTTTTTAAGTTTCTAGTTCTGCAACATAAGAATGGAAATCAGGAAGAAGATGGGATAAGAGGACTCTGATTTTCAATTTTTCATGGAAGGGAGAGAAGAGAAGCTCTTAATAAGATGAGTTAACAAGTTAAAAGACCATAGAACAGTGTCTACAACATAGCAATTTCTCTATAAATGATCAATCTTATTGTTGTCTTTAGAAAGATATCTATTTAACCACATTACCAAACCAAAACCAAAACCTACTGCCATCTAGTAAATTCTGGTTTCTGATTTTACAGTAGACAGCATCATCTTTCTCCCACGGAATGGCTAGTAAGTTTGAACCACTGATGTTGTAGTTAGCATTCCAATGTTTACCCACAATCCCACTATAGCTCCTTTAACCACATTATAACAAAATAATTTTCAAGTACCCTGTGACGTTTAGCCTGGAGTCACTGGTTAGCTATTAACAAAGAGGTTGGAGGTTTCAAGTCCACCCAGAGACATCTTAGAAGAAAGACCTGGTGATATATGTCTGGAAAACTATCCATTGAAAACCCTGGGTAACACAGTTCTGCTCTGACATACATGGGGCAGCCATGCGTCAGAGCCAACATGACAACAATTGGGCTATATACATAGGTGAGAGAGAAACACTGCATATAGTTTTTGCATACAATCCAGAATTTCTTTTTTGTGTGCTAGTTACCTATTGTATTGCTTCATACTTTGTTTTAGATTAATCCCTTTATGCTTCAATTCAGTAAACATTAATTGAATTGCTCACTAAGGACCAGGCACTAGACTGGGACTTGGGAAAACATCAAGAATGGCAAAAAATATCTAAGGCAATTCTAAGTCCCTTGAGAAGTTCACAGTCCAGTGGGAACAATGAACTGTGGAATTCCATCCCTATTGGGTTTCCTGGGTGTACCTTTGTTCTGAATATCAAAGTTGGCTAAGCATTCTCTTTTAGTACCTGTAAGCTAGCTTTGTATGAATTAGAGACTAGAATTGAGATGAGAGTAAACATTTTTTGTAATGAATAACCTATTTCAACAATGAGGAATTTTTGTGACAATTCTGAAATTACTGCAGCTATATTATCATTCGGATAAATTCTCCTCCCCCTCTAGTGTTAGAAGAGGCCTGAGGCAGCATTTCACCAACTGGGAGACTCACCAGAATGAGGCCGTGGGGGCACCTTCACAGTGTGTAGGGCGGGTGAGACTTCACTCACAGAGCTCTCCAGGGCTTCAGTACTGGCTGAGTAACTGCATCTGGCAAATGGTGCCTCCTCCTTCGCTAAGTGGCTAACACCACAGAAAGTTCTGGATAAGTCATCATCATCATTCACAGTACATATAGGGATGTTATTCAAACCTGGATGAACAAGAAAAAAAGATCAAATAACCAAATTAGGTTTTTGTCAGATGACTGAGTCAGAATCAACTTGACTTTTGTTATCTTTATTAGATAGTGGATATGAAATCCCTGTTGCTGTTGTTATTGTTGTTAGGTGCCATCCCTAGGTAGTGGGGAAAAAAAAGTTAACGTGTTCAACTACTAACCAAAAGATTGGAGGTTCAAGTCCACCCAGAGATGCTTCAAGGAATCTATTTTAAAATATCAATCATCAAAACCCTGCAGAGCACAGTTCACCTCTGACACATCTGAGGACACCATGAGTTAGAATGACTCATCAGCAGCTGGTTTCACCATCCATCTGGTAGTTTGCTGAGTTGTGGTGGCTTCTGTGTTCCTGTGATTTGTTGTTGTTGTTAAGAGCTGTTGAATTGTTTCCGATTCATAGCAACCCTATATAGGGTTTCCGAGGAGTGGCTGGTGAGTTTGAACTGACTTTGCCATTCAAACTGACCTTGTGGTCCAATGTTTATCCTACAGCGCCACACTAGGACTCCTTTGCTATGATACTGGAAGCTTTCCCACTGGTTTTCCAAATATTTTTGGAGGACAAGTGTCAGAAGAGCTTACAGAGTAAGACACATTAGGAAACAAGGCCTGGTTATTCTTCTGAAAATTAAACCAAAGCCCAAATATTTGCCATTAAGTCAATACCAACTCCTAGCAACCCTAGAACTGTGTAGAACTGCCCCAATAGGTTTCCCCAAGGTTGTAATTTTTACAGACGCAGACTGTGACATATTTCTCATGAAGAACAACTGATAGGTTCAAACCACTGACTTAACTGTTAGCACAAAAGTGTTTAGCCACTGCATCACCAGGGCTCCTCCAATGAAAACCATATGGATGACAATTGAATATTATCTGAATGACCCTTGGGTTGGAAAACACTCAAAATGCACAGTAGCTACAATAATGGACTTGAGCAGACAACCTTCACGAAGATGGCACAGGACTGGGCAACATATCAGGCTGTTGTGCTGAGGTCACTTTGAGTCAAAATTAACTCAACAGGAACAACAACAACAGAAGTGGATATCTGTAAATTCTGCCCAGTATTCCCTTTTTCCCTTTACTGATAGTAATCAGACATGTTGTTCTATTATCCTTCTTTCATCTATCCTTTTAGAGCTTATGCAGTCATGTGCTTTGGGAAAAACTAAGTGCATTCCCCTTGCCATAATGATTGGTTTTCTGAGCCATAATCTACTAATCTATGCATGCCATTTTCCTACCCACAGAGATTTGTTCAGAAGTCTGTGTGGCATGCAGATGTGAAGATGAGAACTGATGAAGCCACATTGCCCCTTATGAAGGAGTCAGCCTCGAGGCTCTAGGATGAGGATGACATGTGAAGCGCAGAGTAGAGAGAGGAACCATCAAATCAAATAAAGCCTGAAGCCCACCTGACTGTTGGACTGCCCAGTTACTTGAGCCAACACATTTTCTTAGTTGTGCAAGTCAGCTTCACATTTTTTATGTCACTTGCAGATATGAGGATTCTTGCTGATAAGATATTCATTGTATTTTTCAAAATTGAAGATAGGCAGTATGTTTGGCAAAACAGTTTATATGGAATGGTGGGTGAAAAGGCCAAGTTGGAGTGGGCTAAAGAGGAACTTGAGGATAAGAAAGTGAAAATCATGAGTGTAGAGATCACTTCTGGCCATGAAGCAGTGTTGGTTATGTGCTGTGGAGTCAATTCCGACTCATAGCGACCCTGTACAGGGTTTCCGAGGCTGTAAATCTTTACGGGAGCAGAAAGCCTCATCTTTCTCCTGAGGAACAGCTGGTAGTTTCAAACTGATGACCTTGTGCAGCCCGATTCATAACCATTACAGTACCAGAGCTCCTTATGAAGGGGTGTAACTTCCTTTAAATGGTATATACATTGCTTCATAAACCTGGCCCCTTATTCACTTCACCTTCATCCCCAGTATTCCTTCCTTCCTCCCCACATGCTCCATAACAGACATTTCAATCCTCTTGTACTCACTGTTTACTAGTGCTCTGTGCTGTGCTTGCACTTGCTACTCTTTTTTTTTTTTTTTTTTCTTTTAAAGCTTTTATTGTGAGTTGAATGATAGTTTACATGGGAAAAGATAGGTTTTTCACTCATCCTATCATATTTTGTTTCATGGCAATGATTACAGTCCCTTCCATGCATGGTCATTTAACAGTATTTAGTTCTATTTCCTCTGGGATTTTTTGTTTGTTTGTTTTAATATACATGAAAACTTTCAGGAATATATAATTATTTAAACAGCCAAAGGGCACATTCTGCAAGTCTGCTTCCTGGCCACCATCACACAGTTTTTCTCCTTCCACGAGTCTAAAATCCTCAGCTGCTCTCTCTCTCCATGACCTTATCTTGGCCTCATCTCTGGTGTCTGCTGTTTCTCTGGATAGGGCCCCACATTCCACTCATGCTCATATCCCTTGATGGTTCAAGGGTTCTTTGTTCCTGGATTGTAAGATTAACTACTACCTCCTTTATGTTATAAAACTTCTACCTTTACAATTGTGACAATTGCAATTCGTGGTGATAACAATTACTCATTATTGGATCAATAATGTCCTATCCAATCTCCTTTCACCAGACCCATCTAGATAAGTTGGAAACTATTCAGTGGGGATTCTACCTTCCCCCATACACTTTGAAATTAAACTCCCTCTTGAAAAATTGTAAGCCAGTCACTTCATGCCTTTATAGTTCCACAACCACCACCCCATTTTAGGTAGCCAATGTCCAAGTTGCCGGTCCCTAGCAACCCTGTATAACAAGGGGATTGGTTTGATCCTTGATGTGAAGATTCCTTCCCTCTCGTTTAGTATTTTAAGCTGCTACATCCATAAGTATAGGTCAAGTTCATCAGATTGTACTTGCTACTCCCTTTGCCTCCCTTCTTCATATGCATTACCATGATATAGGCATTATATCTTTGCCTTTTTATGGATAATGGAACTGAAGTATAAATAACTTATAAACATCATATATATATATATATATATATATATATAAAGTGTGTTGTTGTTGGTGGTGGTTGTATGCTGTAGAGTCTGTTCTGACTTATAGTGATCTTGTATAGGCTTTCTGAGGCTGGATCTTTATAGGAGCAGAAAACCTGTGCACACTTCTTTTATTCTCCATGTCAATCTCAACTGAACTCTCTCAGCAGGGAGATACTGCCATTAGTGCCCACTTTAACTTCCAAGAAGTCTATTGTATATGTTGTTGTTGTGAAGTGCCAGAGAGTTGATTCTGACCCATAGCAACCCTGTATAAGGTTTCTAAGGAGCAGCTGGGGAGCTTGAACCACTGACCTTGAAGTTCAAATGACTTTGTAGTCTGACTTATTAGCCCACAGCGCCATACCAGGACTCCATTGTATATAGTTAAAGTAAAAAAAAAAAAAAGGGGGGTGGGGGAGGGGAGGAAGAAAGAGAGGGAAAAGTGGAGGGAGAAAAGGAAGGAGGAGGGTAAACTATATGCTTTTCTGGGCTGCTATATGACTGCTATATGGCATGTGGCTGCTGATATGACTGCACCAGTTTTATTCATACTAATTGATAAAATAGCCAGTGCCCTGAGTAGCTTGTGTGGCCCATTGCCCTGGTCACTTCAGCTCCTCTTCTGGCCCTTCTTTTAACAGTCAAGCAATCTAGTGGTTAATGCCTGGTATAGAAGGGCTCCGTGCTGGGGCCTGGTCCCAATATCCAGTGCCTATGTCTTAGCAATGGTTAAATAGTTTAGCTAGCATTTTTATGTTAACACACTGGAGTTATCAAGTAGTGTGAGTACAGAGAAGAGAGGCACATTCTAGACTCTTGAATCACCTTACCTTTTATATGGCAGACTCTTCTGGGATGAGGAGTGTGCCTGACTAGAAAACAACTTGCATTTCTAGACATAATGGAGCTGTCTTTTCTCTCAAACTGAAGACCAGACATTGGGGATTTGAGGTTCATGCTCATGGGGGAGTTGATTTCCTTTCCACTGTTGCCACCAAAATTTCTTGGGGTCTGTCTCCTCACTCCTGTGTTCAGACCCTGTAATCATAGAATAACAATTATCCTGGGAAGATGTTCTTGATGTTTTTTAATACATCAAACATTTTCCATCTTCTTGCTTTACAAATATTTGTCATGTCAAAGCAATATGTAGTTCATTTACTTTCGAATCAAACTTCTGTAAGCTTTGACAGCAATATTGACATAGGATGAAATGAATAAACAAAAATACTCACCAGGAAAAAAAAAAAAGCATTAGTGATAAATTGAAGATACGTTATTAGGTGCCATTGAGTCTATATTTAATTGCATTTAGGGTCACTTGATTGAATTATCACCAGAAATATGTATTGCATTTTAATGATCAGTTTTGATATAGCAAATTAAAATGATGTCTTCAAAATATAATACCCCAAAATATTCTTTAAATTAAAATATCTTTAAATGAGGACCTTTGATATTGTATACTAAGAAGCAAAACAAAACAAACAAGCAAAACACCACTTGAAATTTTTATCATCTTCTGAGAAAACTAAAGGAAATAAAAAAATCTAATAGTGAAAGAGCAATACTATGTTCTTTATTACAGATAATAAACTGGAGAACTTTCAGCATATTGTTGCAAGCAAGACTCAATAATATTTGATGAAGTTCCTTTAGTAATTGACCAAGTGTTTATTAGACACATACAGTGTCATTGGAGTAGGGAATAAAAGATGATGTTTATGGCTGGTGGAAAATACACAACATTCTGGGGAAAATATTTCTGGAGTAAGAGCTTGAGAAAGAGTCATTGAAACTTTCCTGAAGACTGTATACTACTTTCAAACTCTAAAAAGAATGTTTTTCTGGTGTATACATACTATCTAACATGGAAACTTTATTCATCAAAACAATATTCGGAAATACACCTTTTATTTTCAACTATGGTGGGGAGATTTTTGGGGGGTTATTTGGTCAAAATAATCTGAAGTGGCAAAATATCATTCTAGAACTTGATCTCAAGATTTTGTTGGTGGAAGAATATTTTTAGTTCACTAAAGTGAGCTTGAACTGCAGACCTTACAGTTAAAACCAACTTTGAAGTCCAGTGCATTAACCCACAGCACCACAGAAGTTACTCATACAACTATTATTCAAATTTACACACCAACCACTAAAGTCAGTGATGATGAAATTAAAGCATACTACCAACTTCTTCAGTCTGAAATTGATCAAACACATAATCAAGATAATTTATAGTTACTGGCAATTGGACTGCAAAGGTTGGAAACAAAGAGGAAGGATCAGTCCTTGGGAATTATGACCTTGGTGATAGAAATGATACTGGAGATTGCAGGATAGAATTTTTCAAGACCAATGACTTATTCCTTTT